TTTTTTGCTTCCCTGCCTGCCATCTGACACCTCCAGGAAAGGAATTTTACCTGATCAACACATCAAAGAGCTACTCAACATAGCTCACAAAGACACTCTCATGGACCCAGAGGGACAGACTTCCATCTTCAGCTCCCTCTGTGCAAAAATGAAGTTTATTTCCTACCTATGGGGACTTTTTACAATCTTGTACCATCTATACTTTTCCCAGAGCCTGACTTTGATCTTGAAAGCTTGCAGAAAGGGACAATTTCCTTGTGATTGCCCAGTTGGTCTAATAAAAGGTATCATTATGAAACCAAGAATTCTAGTTTTTTGTAAGCATTAGAATACATTGTTTTAGGACACTAAATAATTCTTAGATTCTAAATAAGCAGCAGGTGAGCAAATAACTGTGCCAAAAACTGTCCTCCAAAGTACGCACACTGTTAAAAAAAAATAGTGGGAGAGGCAGAGATTTGTTATTGGAGTATAATGCTTCTAACTCAGTGCTTCATATACAGCCTGTCTAGCAGATGAGTATTACCACTAGGTGGCAGTATGTGAAGTGATTATGGTGACTTCTGCCTCCGTGTAAGATACCAGCATCATCAGAACCATGATCTCAAAACAGACATCTCTATTGGCTTATTAGCTGAAAAGTACCTGTAAAGGTTTCATCAAGCAATCAAACAGTTCTAGAATTGGTTGCTAATTTACATGGAGACCTGATGTACACTACAATGTCCAGCAAGAAGAACTTGAGTTTTGGTAGAAGTTTATGCACTGCCCAGATCAATAGATAAAACGAAGACTTTGTTCTCCAGTATAACGAATGTGATGAAACATTGATTAATACCTATTAATAAATATGTAGTCCTGGATGTACTGTCAATAGTTTACAAACAGTAGGAAAACCATTAAATTTGGGTATATGAAAAGAAATAGAAAGGCATCCCTTTAAAATATGTATATAATGTGTGAATATATTCAATACAGAAAAAAGCATAAATTTGAATATTTAGATGATTCATGCTTGCAAGCCAATGGACATATATGCCTAAAAATCATGCAAATCAGTCTCCTTGCTATTTAAATTTCTCATATCTATTATATTATTTCACATGTTGTCTTTCCCATATGCAGTCACCAAAACTGATTAGTCTTAGATCTTGCATTGTGACAAATACATAGCGATCAATGCCACCAATATATTTCAGTATGCTAAACACCTCTAAGCCTCTTCTTTCTCATTTATTTTAACTGTATACAGAACAATTCTGAGTTGAAATTACTACAAGATCAGACGCAAGGATTTCTTAGGGTGATACCGTTTATTGGACCAACTCTGTAGTTAGGCTAAAGTTAGACGAACAGTTAAATGCAAGACATTCTTCATCAGGTCACAGTAAGCCAGACACAGCATAGCGAGAAACCACTAAGATTAGTGGTCTTTCCACACTCCTAATTCTGGGAAAAATGTTGGGACTCATTACTTCTGTAGTACAAAATTAAGAACACGTGCAACCCTTTTGGGCTCCCAAACAAAACCGAGAAGGTCCCTGTTTTTTTTTTTTTTTGTTTGTTTTTTGTTTTTTTTATTTGGGGGGTAAAATAAGGAAGAGAACCTTACTCCTAGGATAGCAGTGCTGGATATGTCTATACTGAACTTTTATAAGTTGTGTTACCTAGCGACAGTAGTCTGCATATTTGCTCCAGGCTTACGAGCAAACATTTGTAGTCTGTAACAAACATGGAGTGTCCACAGTAATTTTTACAAATCAGTTAAAGCATCTCAAGTTAAGCAATCAATTAGAATGAGATAGATACAAGAGTCATGTGAAGACAAGCTTTTGGCAGTTATACATGTATGTCTGCGTAGTTTGTCACGCATCCCTTGTCCTATATGGCACTCTGAGTTGAAGAAAATTACCAGGGCAGACACTGAATATGCAGAGCGATTTGCCAATGTCCTAGTGCAGGGGAAAGTTCCTCAGTGATGGACAGACTTTCAGCTTAATAGAATATCCATAGTGCTGTGGAACCTGAAGACAGATCTGTGGGTGCAGGGCTGTCAGGCAGAGAGAAAAGAACAGCTCAACCAGACCCAGATTTGTCCTCAGCCTGCAAGAAGACTGGATCAGGGCAGGGATTCCCCCAGTGATTGTCCCACCACTAAACTTCATATGAAACAGCAATCTCTACCAATACGCAAATAATCTGACAAATACGAATACAATCCCCGCCGCCCCCAAAAACCCAAAAAACAGGGACTTAAGTCCTTTCCCATCTCTCCATACATTTTAGAACTAGAAGGAGTTTACAGAGGCCTGAGAGCTGGAATAATTCCCAGTACTCCAGCTGTATGGAAGAGACGTGTGACAGGCCTGGACATAAAGTTAACAAAAAGATGTGAAAAGAGAGCATATTTGCATGAGTTCCTGTAGCAGGGCACTGGGGTGTACCTGATCCTTTAAGGGAGCTCTCAGCCTGTGAGACTGCTTGCGGGGGCTAATGAAAGACTGACCTGACCAAAAGAGACCCCAGGCAAGTCCCCCAGGCAGAGAAGGACTGTTTTACAGGCAAGTGGCCTTTGTTTTATTTTGAGCCCACAGAGCATCCTGGTGCCCATGGAAGAGCTAAGCCAGATCAGAAGGCCCCTGAGCCCAGTGAAGGGCTGCAAGTTGGTCCAGGGGGTCTGGAAGCCCAGAGAAGGGGAAGCATGTTGGACCAGTGGGGTCTGAGATCCTGGAGAAGGGCTGAGTTCATAACTAAGCAACATCACAGATAGAGAACACCTGTGAGGCTTGAGGCATGGTATAGGGGAAGTACAGAGCCACGCAAGGAACCCTTAAGGCAATAGGTGCCCGGCAGAAGTACAGCTAGGCTGAGAGGGCCTGCTAGTATGGGGTGCAAGACTGACTGAGGGGACCCAGGAGAGGCCCACTGGGGAATGACACAGACTCTGGCTCATGCAGAGTCCACAGGCAGCCTCCCTTTTATAACCTTCATTAAGAGCTAGGCATGGTGGGCAAGATTCAAGGGAAGGGCTGCAGCCAAGCCTGAGCTGGGCAGGAGCCACATGGCTGCCCTGTGGCCATGGACTTACTACAGTTCCCTATGCCCCGCACCCTGATCACAGCCACATCTCTTGTCCTTTCCCTACTCCTCATGAACCAAACTGACCACCCTTGGTCATTTGGCCCTACGTATAGCTGCTCTACACAACCACCTACGGCTAATCAGTATTAGATGTCTAAGATTTAGCCATCAGTATATAAATTCCATAATCGCTTTCATAATTCTTTTTTAAATACAGGGCAGTGAAGTAACTTACTGGTTTGCATAGTGAAGCCAGTGTCTTCTGCATTGTGGGTAATGTGATCTCTACCAATGCTTCCTGAAATATCTTCTTCCGGACAGTGCTACTGTCATAATCATATTGCTGTCAAAACCAGATAAATTGGAAAAACATATTTGGAACAATTATTCATACGAGTCATCTGTCCTGCTGCCTTGTCACTAGTGATGGGCACCATATAGAGCATGGGTCCCAGACTGTTTGAAGTAGGCACTGCATGTGGTACTGTGGCACACCAGCAAAGACCAAGCACCACATGCAGTGTGGAGATGTTGTTTAGTGGATGTCTGCTTATTTTGTTATTTTGCTTTGTTTATTCACTCTCGCTGTATGCTACCCTAAGCTTTTGTTGGGAAGGGCAGCATACAAATTGTATAAATAAATACAGAAATATATAAATGCATAAATACATTTTTATAGCTTTGCTATAAATATATAAATACATAAATATATACATACATAAATACATTTTTATAGCTTTGCTACTTACTGTAGTTACAATTTAATCAGCTAAGGATCTGACACTAAGAAGGCACTGTTCATGCAAATAATGTCATACATATTTAAAAGAATTAGCCAAACTATTTTGAAATGCAAAAAATATCTAGGTTTGGCCAAAATTTTATCCATATGGTTTTTCCTCAACTACTTGTAACAGCATGTGACTAGAAAAAAAACCATGCTCCAGAGACTTGAGTACAGAAATTGGAGTTAGGAAATCCTGTCTTCTAATCTAGTCTCTAGCCATTAATATCCTCTAGGCAAACCTGTGGTCTCTGCCCTCATTTGTAAAATGGATGTAATACATAGGACACCAATCCTGCCAGCCCTCTGCACAAAATTTCTATTGGGTTCCAAGTACAAATGATTTTACAGGATTAATATCCTTGCTCACATGGACTGAAATTCAATCCTACACAGATGGCTAGCACATGCACCACATTAATCCTATTTAATCATTGTTTTGAGGGTTTATGCAGCACTTGATATATTGTACAAACCTTTTCCTGAAGTCTACACAGAGATGAGTTTTCCACCTGGTGTTGTGGGGATTAACTACTATCTCTAAAGCACGTCTAAGGAAGAATACTGCTACTATTGCTTTCAGTCATCCCCATCATAGATGGAAAACATGATTCTCCATAATATTGCTACTTGCATAGTCATTTAATTTTTATCAAATGCTATTAAATTCACATTTTCTGTTACATGGTGCAGAACAATTTCTTCTCAGTATTAAATAGGACAAAATGTACCCTTTATTTACTACAAAAAGATAATCAAGCCAGATCCCTTAGTGTTTTGGTATACAATTGACCCAGAGAACTGTTACCTTTAGTACTCTCAGTTTGACTTTTTCAATGGCTGTTGCAATTTTTGCTGTGTCTCCTTGCAGGTTTGGAGAAAACAGCTGTCCAAAAGTATAAACAGCATTTTCCATAAGCTGGAAATAAAGACAAAGATGTTAAATGCTAAGGATTCATGTTTCCATATGTATTGTGAACCTCGTTCTGCTGAGGTGGGGTGCTGTACACGAAAGTGGCTGACCCACAAGTAAACCTACAAATGTCAAGAAACATTGAGTTACACAAATACAGCTATACTGTCAAACTACCTAAGCGTAGATGCAACTTACATTAGCACATGAACATCTCCGCTAGAATGGCTTATAGTGGTTCCCTGAGCAAATCAAGATATATGGACATTTTTATGCCAGTGTAACTAGTTTACACTAGGGATTTTTACTCTCATAGAAGCATTACAATAAATAAATAAAATCAAGCCTCTAACCATCATTACTATAATGGCAAAAGCATCTACCTTAGAGCTGGCCTTATTTTACAAACCAACAAACAACAAACTGTAAACTAGATTTAAAATTCTGTTTCAGGAGTCTGAGCCAAAGCTCAGGAGTAGTCAATGGAAGCCTGCTTTCAACTCCAGGGTCTTGTGGATCAGGTGTTAGCTGTCCAAACAAGATGAGGCCTTTAAAAAAAAAACAAACTATTTTGACAGCTTCCCTCATAATATAATTAGCAATTAATCCCCCAAAATTAGATAGCTGAAAAGTACAATGTCCTCTCAAGGAATACTAATATCTAGAAGCTTCCTGTTTTGTGAATTCTGCATATTATCTAGTGATATACTAAAAACCAGCCTTAAGTTAATGAAACACTTTATAGCAACACTTTTGCAGCTGGAAATTATCTGTGTTTAATGAGGTTTCCATTCTAACTTTTAACCAAGGGTTTCCATTTGCATTCTAATTCCTCTTGATGCCTCCACTGCTCTCTGTCCTTTTCCAGTGATGCAAAACTCTGCAACAGCTACTGTTTCTGAAAAGAGTCCAAGGCACCTTCTCTTCTAGAACAGCGCGCGCGCACACACACACACACA